TTTAAAGTTTTTATTTTAAATTACTAGTTTACAACGATTTTGTTCATGACATAAAACTTATATGGTCCAGAAAAAATATTTAAAAAATGTAGGACGTAAAATTTTTGAATTATTCAAAATAAAAGAAAATGCTAAAAAAGGGTTAGTTAGTTAGTTTGAAAGGAGGAAGTGTCGAGGATCGATCTGGTAACGACTTGATGGACCTCGACTGAGCCGCATCGGCCACAAATTCTGCGGCGGTGTAAGCACGACCCAAGCCGGGCTTACGCGGTTAAATAGAAGAAGAAGTCAGTCTTCGACTAGAATCCATCCCGAGCGCCAGCGGCCATTATAAACTTTTAAAACCATTAAAACAAAAAAAAAAAAAAAAAACATTTAAATAAATAAACAACAAAATTTAAATAAAACAAAATCACAAACGTTTATTTAAAAGAACAACTAAACAAACATTTACACAAACAAAGAAAAAAAAAACAAAATTAAAACAGTGAAGTGGTTCCCACACACACAAATATTTATTTAAAAACAAAAATACAAAAAAAATTTATACAATTAACACTGAACAAATAAACTAAAACAGTGAAAATCTCACAAAACAATCAAACTGTACAAAACAAAACATTGAAATATTATAAACAACAAATAAATCCAAATTACAATACAATCTACATTTACACTACATCTTTTTATTTAACTTATTAACTGGTCTCCACAGCTATTGAAGAGAAGTAAGTATATTTCAGGTTCTTTGAAATTAGTACAAGTCGAAATAAATCTATTTCATTTGTTACATCTCTTGTAACAAATCTACAATTTTGTTTGAGTTATCCAAACAAAACAACAAATTCCCAATTGTTCCAATTGGAAAATTGTGTATGGTCCTTTTGAAACCGTCAAAGAATCGGCAAAATAAAAATTTTTAATTTCATTAAAATAAAAAATAAATTTTCAATTTATTCCCTTTATTTTGCAAATCGTTTATTACAACAAAGATTTATTTCGATTTCACATTATTTTGTTCTTAAAATATTGTGTGTAGATTAGTACATTTGGTGGTGGTTTTTTCTTTTATTTACTAGCTTTATTCTCATTAAAATTCTCTTAATATAATTTACATACGATAGTACTCAACTATATCAAGAAGAATAAAGCATAAAAGAAAATAAGAAAAAATTATTTATCAGTAGTGTAATTGTTGTTACAGTTAATTGTGTACCCTACACTTTACAGGCTGATAATATTAGTACAACGCTGAGTTTGTTTTTTTTAATAATTTATATAAAATTAATTTTATATATTTCGGTGTTAATTTTAAAGTTCTTTATTAAAATACACCCTACTATTTTTCGAATAGGCTTTTTTAATTCAAGGTTCGTTTTGATACATATTGAAATTGTAGATTTTATTGGAATTCTTCAATTAATATTTGATTATATAGTGTCAGCTGTCAGTCACTTTAGAAATATTTTACTACAGGTACCCTACATACAGTGTTTAATACTTTCCGTACATAGTTCGTTTTGTACTTTTCTACTATCATATAGTAATTTTCATTACATATTATTTTTGGGTTCACTAAAAAGTCACATTCCTTTGTTTATTGTAAAAGAAAATAAGTACAATGGGTTCCCAAATATGTACTAGATTCATTCACGAATCAGAAAATTTAATGGGTGTTTGCAATAAATTTTCAAGTCTAGGTTGTGATGATTTGACTGAATCTCTTTTAGAGGCAAAACTGCAAACACTAGAAGAGGATTGGCAGTCGCTACGCCGTGCTTATGAAGGCGTATATATGGCTGATGACGGAATCGTCAGCCCAGATTATAAAGCGAATGCTAAATCCACTTATGAAGAATGTAGGGATAGGTATCAAGAGACCAAAGCTGAGATGATAGATTTTATAAAAATGTCCAAAGCTTCCGCTGAAAACAATCAAAGAGACAGTGGTCCTTCTCATTCCTCAGCATTTGATCCATCTAGTTACCATCCACTAAACATGACTTATGAAGCGCCAGATATGGGTGTCAACGTTCCACCATGCGATGCACCTCACTTTCATGGTTCCTATGAAGAGTGGCCTTCATTTAGAGACATGTTCAGTGCTGTTTACATCAGTAAAATAAGAATGCCAGACGTACAAAAGTTATTGTACTTAAGAAGAAAGGCAAAAGGTGAAGCAAGTTCCATTGTCAATAAATATCCATTGACCAATGAAAGTTTTTCGTTAGCATGGGGTGCTTTACGAGCACGCTACGAAAACAAAAGGGTTCTTGTAGATATACAATTGAAGGCTCTATTCAATATTCCACCTGCCAAAACTGAATCCGCTGAAGCGATTAATAAAATACAAACAACAATAACTGATTGTCTGGCAATGTTGTCTTCTCATGGCGTACAGGTAGAAAACTGGGATCCAATTCTCGTTTACCTTTGTTCGACAAAACTACCTAGTGAGACCCTCGCTCTTTGGGAGCAATCTCTAACGACGAACTCGATATTGCCATCATGGTCTCAAATGGAGCAATTTCTAATAAAAAGACACAGAGTAGTAGAAAGAGTAGTAGGAATACTTAATGAAGGAAATTAAATGAATTATAATTCTAATAATTCCAATAGGCAGAAAAATAACAAAGCCCTTCGGGTGCCTCATTGTAAGTTATGCGACAAAAATCATTACTTAAGATTTTGTCAAAAATTTTCAAACTTCTCTAAGCAGCAACGAAACGATTTTGTCACACAGAATCAAATCTGCATTAACTGTTTATCACCAGTTCATAAAGTTTCTGAATGTACAAGTGTAAACAGATGTGATCAATGTGGTAATAAACATCACAGCATGTTACATTTGAATAAAAATGATAATCTAAATTCTCAAAAAAAGATTACTAAGAAAAATTCGGCGGTTAACGCTTTCCTTGCGGATCCGATAGATATTGAGAATGAAGACACAGAAGAAAGTACTGATCTCTCAGGAAATCCATGCTGTTACAAATCAACTACAGATGCAACTAACACTCAGGCCCATTTAACCGTTAATTAGGATAATATCTTACTTCCAACAGCGCTTGTTCAAATTTTGCACTGTGGTGAGCCATTTACAGTCAGAGCACTGATAGATTCTGGTTCAAAAAGATCATTTCTGACTAGTAGAATTTCAAAATGGCTAAACCTGATTTGGGAAAATGCAAATTTCGAAATCTGCGGATTGGGTGGTACAGTAGTAGCTAATGCTAATAAAGTAAGTTCTATTACTTTATACAATCAAAGGCATGAATTCAAGTTAACAACAAAAGTCATAATTGTTTCCAATTTGACAAATTTCATGCCTAGCTGTTCAATAGAAATTTCTGATCTCTCCGACATCAGAGACTTATGCTTAGCTGATCCCAATTTCTTAATATCTGCTCAAATAGATATGCTGCTAGGAAGTGACATAATTCCTCACATCATACTTGATAGTCTAAAGAAAAACGTTTTAGGTAATTTGATTGCTCAAAATTCTATTTATGGCTGGTACATTTACGGTCCAATGAAATTGCACACAATTTCACTTACGGCTATAGACAACTTACAAAGCGAAAATGAAAGTGTTAGCTCAATATTAAGAAAGTTCTGGGAAATAGAGGAAATTCCGCAAATAGCTAATCAATCAGAAGCAGATCTCTTTTGCGAAAATCTATATAAAGAGACAACTTCTCGACAGTCCGATAGTAGATATGTAGTTAAACTTCCGTTTAAAAGTGAATTCCCAGAATCTGAGTTTTTGCAAGCGTCTCGATATTTGGCAAAGAAGCAATATTTACATATTGAACAAAGGCTTGAAAAACATGACACGCTTATGCAAGTTTATAATGACATCTTGAATGAATATATTTCTCTCGGTCACATGAGGAAATCAAATTCTCAAGAAATTTGTCATAATGGAAAGTTTATATTTATATTTCAAGTCCAATTGAAGATTTTGAGTTGACAACGGTAACTTTCGGTATAGCATGTGCACCTTATTTGGCAATTAGGACCCTTCTACAATTAGCATCAGATTCTGAAAAAGATAGTCCTTTATCTGCAAGAATTTTGAGAAAAGAGACATATGTTGACGACATATTGTCCGGAGGCCATTCATTGTCATTGGCAATGGAAGCTCAAAAACAGCTGATTTATACTTTAAAATCAGCAGGGTTCCCATTAAAAAAGATAACGGCAAATCATCCAGATTTGTTGTCTCGGATATCATCTGATGATTTATTGAACACAGAATTTTTGAAGCTCTATGATTCAAGTTCAACAAAAACTTTGGGAATTCGTTGGAATGCTATAAGTGATTCCTTCACTTATAAAGTAGAACAATTAAATTCGACATCATCGGCAACTTTTCGATCCCGCAGGATGGCTTACGCCTATTATTATTCAAGCCAAGATTCTTTTACAAGAATTATGGCAAGACGGGGTCGGTTGGGATGACGAGGTCAAACCACAATTTCTTGATAAATGGAAAATATTTGTTGATAGTTTCCCTACTATCGAATACATTGAAATTCCAAGATGGATCCACTACCATCCTCAATATAATATCCAAATACATGGATTTTGTGACGCTTCTGAGCAGGCTTATTGCGCTACACTATATGTGGTATCCGAGAACTCTGGTATTCGGTATTCACATCTGCTTTCTGCTAAAAGTAATGTTGCGCCCTTGCAACGGATAAGTTTACCACGACTTGAGTTATGTGGAGCTCTTCTGCTTTCCAGACTCGTAAAGCAAGTACTTACGAACCTTCTATTCTGTAGCCCAAAGCTTTACTTATGGTCAGACTCAACCATTGTTTTAGCTTGGCTACAAAAACCTCCATCAGTCTGGAAAACGTATGTAGCTAACAGAACAACTCAGATTATAGAGAATGTTGGTAATGCCAGTTGGAATCACGTTCCAACGGATCACAACCCAGCTGATCTTGGCACTCGCGGTTGTAAACCACAAGATCTTGTTAACAACCCATTGTGGTGGTATGGACCAATGTGGCTCTTGGATTCCCAAGCAAATTGGCCCAAATATAGTTCTCTACCTGAAGTTCTTCCGGAAAAAAGGAAGATTTCAGTTTGTTTTTTAACACCGGCTGACAACAGTCTAATCGATACATTCTCCTCTTATCCTCGAGCTCTTGCTGTTACAGCTTACGTGCTCAGGTTTATTAATGCTATCAGGAAGAAAGGTTTAAAGGTTCAGCATTCTAGTTTGACTCTTAGCCTTACGGAGCTTAAAGAATCAAAAGTTATGCTGATCAAACTAACTCAACGAGTTTATTATCCCCAGGAGTATAGTCAGCTCTCTGACGCGAAACTAATTTCAAAGAAAAGTTCTATTCTCACTTTGAACCCATTTCTGGATTCGAATGGAACTATGAGAGTTAACGGTAGATTAGCCAATTCATGCCTAACCTATGATGAAAGGTACCCTTTCATTATTCCAAACTCGTCTAACTTCTGCAGAATGTTTCTTGACTTTACTCATAAAACTCTGTTGCATGCTGACATTTCCCTAATGATGAATGCAATTCAAAGTCAATTCTATATACCAGGACTTAAAAGAACTGTTAAAAAATGTGTTCACCATTGTTTAGTGTGCGTCCGTTATAAGCAAAAGCTGAAGTCTCAGATTATGGCAGCTCTGCCCCCGGAAAGATGCTCCTTTTCTTTACCATTCACTTATGCGGGTGTTGATTTTGCGGGGCCTTTTCAGATAAAATCAGGTAACTTGCGAAACTCTCCTTATATGAAAGGATACGCTTGTATATTTGTTTGCTTTTCAACAAAAGCTATACATTTGGAAGCGTGCTCTAGCTTATCCTCCGACGCGTTTTTAGCAGCTTTCGCACGGTTTACGGGTAGAAGAGGGTTGCCTAAACGCCTTATGTCCGAAAATGGCACAAATTTTCTCGGCGCCAGTAGATCGTTGCGAAAGGAATCTCTCTTATTTTTACGAAAATCGGCAGAAGATATAAGTAAAAAATATGCAGTCCATGGTTTTAAGTGGAAGTTCATTCCACCTAGTGCTCCACATATGGGAGGTCTTGTGTAAAAAGTGTAAAAAGTTTTAAGATTCACTTTCAGAAAATAGCCGGCAACCAAAAGTTTAACTTTGAAGAGTTTTCCACTCTATTAACCCGAATTGAAAGTGTCCTAAACTCCAGACCTCTTTCCCCAATGTCCGAGGATCCTGAAGATTTACAAGCCCAACTCCTGGTCACTTTTTAAGAGGAGCTCCATTGATGTTCGCCCCTGAACTGCCTTCAGAGAATTTATCGATAATAAACCGATGGGAGCGGCTCAAGCCCTTTCATCATCGTCTTAGTCAACGCTGGAAGACTGAATATCTTCATGAACTTCACAAGCGTTACAAGCGGGATTTGCAGAATGATGACTTTGTAGTCATAAAGGATGAGCTCCTACCTCCAAATGAGTGGAAAATGGGACGAGTTGAATTAGTCCATACTGGAAAAGATAAACGCGTTCGCGTAGCTGACGTCCGAACAGCGTCTGGAACCGTTACCAGACCAATAGTCAAACTTTGCATGCTTCCGATTTGTGATAAGTCAGTAGATTGACTAGGATTGTATGTTCTGTATGTCCTATATGTTCTGTTCCAATTGTTCAAATTTATGTTAGCGAACCCATTACTGCTGCTTTGTTTTGTTCTTCTTTTCCCTTTGCAGATGGATCAGTTCCCAGAGTCAGAAATGTGCCTGGTCTGCTTCCGCTACCACCCTCTTCGCTTCTGCAAGCAGTTTAAACAGATGACCGTAAAGCAGAGAAAATACGTAGTTCGGGTACATCGATACTGCAGTAACTGCTTTGCCCGGACGCATCTAATTGGAGGATGTACGTCAATGGAAGCCTGCCAGGAGTGTGGAGATCTCCATCATACTATGTTACATCCGGAACAAAATCAACGTCGACAGCAATCACGTCGTCAACAACAACCACAACTTCGGCAACAGCAACCAACACAACGTCGCCAACAACAACAAACAAGGCGTCGCAGACAACTACAACGTCGTCGTCGACAACAACAATCACCTCAACGACGTCAACAACCCCAACGTCGTCGTCAAACAACCACACAACGTAGCCTTCAACAACCGTTACGTCGTCGTCAACGTAACATACGTAGAAGAACTGGTGCTGCTCCAGATGCCCAAGAGCTGGTGCAAAGAATCGTCTCAGCCGTAGGTCAGCTGTCTGGGGCCTTGAATCTTGCACCAGTGCAAGAGGGGCGAGATGTCGAGGATCGATCTGGTATCGACTTGATCGACCTCGACTGAGCCGCATCGGCCACAAATTCTGCGGCGGTGTAAGCACGACCCAAGCCGGGCTTACGCGGTTAAATAGAAGAAGAAGTCAGTCTTCGACTAGAATCCCGAGCGCCAGCGGCCATTATAAACTTTTAAAACAATTAAAACAAAAAAACAAAACCAAACATTTAAATAAATAAACAACAAAATTTAAATAAAACAAAATCACAAACGTTTATTTAAAAGAACAACTAAACAAACATTTACACAAACAAAGAAAAAAAAAAACAAAATTAAAACAGTGAAGTGGTTCCCACACACAAATATTTATTTAAAATCAAAAATACAAAAAAAATTTATACAATTAACACTGAACAAATAAACTAAAACAGTGAAAATCTCACAAAACAATCAAATTGTACAAAACAAAACATTGAAATATTATAAACATTGAAATATTATAAACAAATAAATCCAAATTACAATACAATCTACATTTACACTACATCTTTTTATTTAACTTATTAACTGGTCTCCACAGCTATTGAAGAGAAGTAAGTATATTTCAGGTTCCTTGAAATTAGTACAAGTCGAAATAAATCTATTTCATTTGTTACATCTCTTGTAACAAATCTACAATTTTGTTTGAGTTATCCAAACAAAACAACAAATTCCCAATTGTTCCAATTGGAAAATTGTGTAGGAAGTATATATATACATCAAATCCGGGCCTATAGGGCCTGTTGTGCGCTCCTTAACCAGTGCCTCAGGTGGGAATCGAACCCACCACCTCCGGTTTAACAGACTAGAACACTAACCACTAACCTATGTTAATAAAGTAAGGCGCATCTAATAAGGTTAGGACATTTCAAGAGCATTTTTTATGAAAATTTAACCCGAGACTGTCAAACTCCATATAAAAACAAATATCTCTAAAAAATGACGCTGCCAGACTCCATATAAATTTTTTTTGCGAATTCGCGCCATAGCAAAATGATTTCACCTTATAATCGATTCGCATTGATTTAAAAGTTTCAACTACTTTAGCAGTTGATTAAATAACAAATTTATTGCACTTAAAAAAGTAATGGACAATTTTTATAGAAATTGTGTATGGAAAAAGTATTTAAATATAAATATACGATTAATATCTTTATAAATTCGAGGGCAATATAACATAAAATTTATTCATATCAGTAAAAATGTTATATACTTACTATTTCCTGTTCCAATGCAAAGACATAGTGGTTAAAAAACTTATGCAATTTTTCATTTGTGTAGTTTATGCACAATTGTTCGAATGAATTTTTTGCAAAGTTTTCAAATCCGAATATATCCAAAACGCCTAGAAATCGTTTCCCATCTTGTCCTGGATTTGTACAACTATTTATTTTAGATACAAGCCAAGCAAACGTTTTTGAATACAGCGCTTTAGCCATAGCATGGCGGTTTTCACGAGCCTAAAATTATTTAGAATAATTTATAGAAGTGTTTTAAAAAGTGTTTTAGTAATCTCTGACCTCTTGTAATTTGTGTGGAATCTCCGTAATATTTCCTCTTACATTAATTTGTCGTCGTAATAAAACTTGTAGCATGTCATCGTAGTTTATACCCAAAAGTTTGGATATGATACTACATATGTCTTTGTCTTCGTTAAGTAAATCACATCGTTCACCATCAACGTCACAAAAATCCAGATTACCTAACCATAATATAGCACTTAAAATCTTAAAAACGCCATCGATTGATTGTTCGGAAATTTGCAAAACAGTAAACGCCATGGTAAGAGCTTCAAATTTTTTTGATTCAAATTCAATGTCTAATTCGTTATTACCAGATGCATTTAAATACTTATAAAATGTTGGTGGTTTAAGGTGAAACTCTTTCATCATTTCAGGATTATGTTGTCCCTGTGCAACAAGTTGATATAAAACATGATAGTTTCTTTCTCCAGTACTTTGAAATGTTATGCGAGATTGTTCCAATAAGTAATCTTGTATAACGCATCCTTTAATGCCATGTTTTGAATCGAAGCACACTTGCATAAATTTCCCAAACCGTGAGCTGTTATCATTACGAATAGTTTTGGCATTTCCTACAAAAAAAAAATTATATATAAATATATATACACACATATATATATATTAATATTTATTATATGCATACATATGTAATTTATAAATTTAACATAATTGAGTTGGCAATTAGTTAACTAGAAATAAATTTAATCTAATGCGTACATACGCAGCGAGCTCTCAAATGAGCTCTCTAGTTTTTCTTCTTTCACACCACACACATCGGCAGATCGTACAATTTTCTTTCCACACTAACACCACTTCATTTTGTGTTTTTGAACTCCATTCAGTGAAAGAAAAGTTTGTAAAATTATTTACTGTTTTTTGGTGTAATGACTAGACTACTTTACAGTATACTCTATTAGAAATAGCAAAAACACATTAAAATTTCTAGATTTTGTATGAATAGGATTGGAAAAAAATTTAAACACGACCAATTATTTTTGAACATCGCCCTCTAAAATGCATTTGTTTGTAATTTTAGATACAAAGTAAACCTTAATATATACTCCGTGTAAATAAAATAAGTTCTAATAAGTGCTATATTCGGCAATGCCGAATCTTGAATACCAAGCAAGCAAGCAAGCTACTTTTTATTAAAACTCATTTAACTATCTAATTTTTAGATAACTTGACAACATTTTTGTTTCCGTAGTGAGGGTGCTAACATTTATGCATATTTGGAAATAATTTTGGTTAGGTTCATAAAATTTTATATTTATAGGCCAGTTGCAAACATTTTAATATAATGATTTCTCTATACACAAACATACTCATGTCGAATTTTTTCTGTATATAATCATTTAATAATGAATTAAGTGCTATTAAGTGATTTTCCGAAGTAATATTCCGAATAACGATTTATATATACAAAATACACATTTATCTCGAATTTTATCCTGATGACTTTGATTTCAATGTGCGTTTAAGTAATTTTCGGAAATGATCCTTATATGGGAGTTGTGACTAATTATTTACCGATCAAGAAAAATTTCGTATAATGATTTATATGCAAAAAAAGAAATTCAAGTCGAATATTACTTCAATAGATTTATTAATTAATAAAATATGTGCGTTTAAGTGATTTTCGGAAGTGGACTTTATATAGGAGCTATGACCATTACGGGCCTCTCCAGAAAAATTTCGTAGTGATTCATATGAATGTACACAAAACATATTTGTGTCGAATTTTATCAAGATAGCTTTATTTGACAATGAAATATGCGAGTTTAAATGATTTTCGGAAGAGGGCCTTATATGGGAGCTATGACCAATAATGGTCCGATCCGGGGAAAAATTGGTATTATGATTTATATGTACACAAAACATATTCAAGTTGAACTTTATACCGATAGCTTTATTTATCAATGAAACATATACGTTTAAGTGACTTCGGAAGTGGACCTAATATGGGAGTAATCGTAGAGTAATTCATATATAGACGAAATATATTTGTGTCGAATTTTATCAAAATACCTTTATTTGACAATGAAATATGTGCATTTAAGTGATTTTCGGAAGTGGACCTTACATGGGAGCTACGACTAATAATGGACCGATCCGAAAAGAAATTTGGTAGAATGATTGGTATGTACACAAAACATATTCAGCTCGAATTTTATCACAAAAGCTTTATTTATCAATGCTTCGTTTTAACGTGAGCGTGTTTTACACAGACAGACGGACGGACGGACGGACAGACGGACGGACAAATCGACTCAGAATTTCATAAGGATCAAGAATATATATACTTTGTTGGGTGCCAGATGAATATTTCTTGGTGTTACACACGGAATGACAAAGTTATATATACCCTCTATCACCACTGATGGTGGTGGAGGGTATAAAAAAGAAAAAATGGAAGATTTTAATAAATTAAATATCTGTGTTATTGATTCCGGTCGAATTTCCGAAAGATTGCATACTTATGCTATAAAATAAAACCCTACTTTTATAGTTCAAACGTCTGAAAAAAAATATTTCTATTGCTATTATCAAAGTGCATAACTTGCGTTAGACTAGTCAAAATACTAGTCAATAGACTAGTCAATTGACTAGTCATTAGACTAGTCAATAGACTAGACATTAGACTAGTCAATAGACTAGTTCATAGGTTGGTTCATAGACTAGTTCTTATGATATTCCATAGACTAGTCACTAGTCCACATTCTTTAGACATATTAATATATTAGTCAATAAATTAGTCAATAGACTAGTTAACTAGATAATAGAATAAGTTCTAAAATTATTTATATATACATATTTTTCAAAAATATTTGAACTTTTTTAAAAGCAAAAACAACGAACATTATCCCCTACATAAATCTATGCAAAACTTACAATATGATAAATTCATTCCTTACAATATGATATTTCTCTATGTTTAACCATCTGCCCCTTGTCGTAAACAATGTCGAACCCGCCAAGCACTATTGCTATGTAACCTGTAATTATATTCAACCTATCTATATCTCTATCCCAGCAAAAAAAAAAAAAAGAAAATACCTACAGAAGTGGTGATTTCAACACAGATTATTTATAGGCGGAATGTCTCTTTTATTTGATTCCAAATTCATTACTCCTGAAGTCATTCTCAAGAATTAATTTTTATAATATATTTTTTATGGTTATTTGGAAGTGAAATTGTAATTCTTTACTTTACTGTTGTTAAGAGGAATCAGAAAAATACAAACCCCTAAAAATATTTTCAATAGGGCTGTAACAATTGAAATCAATAAATTATTATTTGTTTATGAAACTATCCAAATTTGTTTTTAGGTATTTTAGCTGACAGATAACAAAAACCAAAATAGATTAATATTCTCAAGAGCACACAGAATCCAAACCTATTAACTTTTTTTTTCAAAACTGGACATAGATTTTAATAACCAAAATTCAACATATCTTCTATGTTTTCATCTTTTGTAACTATGTATTTCCGCAGAAGGTAGACTTACCCCCGTTATCGTTTAACCGGTAGATATTCTGTCACTGGTAAGGAACTAAGGACACTTTTAAATGATTTGTTTTATTTTTTCCATGTGCAGTAGATTTAGAGAACTGTTCAGTTAAAATTACGTCACTCCGTACTTTGAATTGTAGTGCCTCTGATGTAAAGAGGCAAAAGTCTTCGGGGCATTTTATTCATTTCAAAAATACGTACCATTAGCCGTATAAAATTTCAAGCGTTTTTTTGCTGTTTGAAAAAGTACATGCTGAAACGGTTATGAGAAATTCTGCACAAAATCATGAAAAATTTGGGCTCATTGATTTCAATTCCTTTAAAAAGAACAAAATTACGTTTTCTTCTGCCCTAGGAAAATATGAAGAATCCTTGAATATTGACAGAGAAAACAAAAATACTTTTAATTTGACAAACAATTTTGAGCGGTTCATTAAAGAGTAAAACCACAATTTTTTCGTCTTTGTTTCTCAAAAATACAACCATTTATAAAAAAGTAAGTTTAAAAATATTATTTTTATTCATTAGCTTTTATGCATCCACACTAAAGTTTTGGATGGATTTAGACACCACTTATTAAATCCGAAGAAATAAAGGTTTAAAGATCAAATATCGTTAGATATACAAAAAAGTTACCCAAATAATTTTACTTATTAAAATATCCACATCTACCTCTAATTAAAAACTTTCGGAATTTGTTAATGGTAAATGGAAAATGTGTGCTGGAATTATTCAAAATCATTATTTAATTTGAAAAGCTTGGAATAAATACGGTGCTACATACGTGCAGAATTTTTACTGGATAATTTTCTAAAAGTATAAAAAGGTATTGAAAGATGAATTCATCTATATTTTATATGAACAATGCTTTATATGCATCGTTTCAGAGGTATACCTATATAAGATTTGCAAAAGAGCTGTCTTTCAGGACACTCAAATGAGTATTCAAATACATATCATGGTTTTTTAGATTTGAGCTGCATTTAAAAAGTGGCAACCTAATTTATATCAATATAATTTTTTATCGTTTTTTTAACTTATTGCAGATTTTTATTGTTATCTCGATTTAACAATAAACTTAAATTTTATATTTTTGTATGAAAAATATGAGTGATTACGGATCATTATTTTTTCTCGAATTGAGAGTTATTTAAAGTAAATTTTTAAAGATTTATAAAAATAGAAATTTTAAGGGGAGATATAAATGATTTTCTATACGTATTTGTAGATTTAAATTTAAAATTCCCATTTTTGGGATTTTTTAAAACTTTTTTGGGAATTCCGGGATTTCTAATAAGAAAATTCGAAATTTTTATTTAATTTTGGATTTTGAGTAAAAAATCTACCTAACTGTAAAATTTCATCAAAAAATATTCATAAATAAAATTTTTATTGCAATTTGAAAAATTTGTATCTTCGCAAAAACTGAATAAAAAACATTTTTTATTTTTTTTTAAGTATTCCGCGAATTTTTTAATTTTCAAAAATTATATACAGTTTTGAAAAATAGACAAAATTACCTTTCCATTGATATATAACATGTCTACCTAATGTTTTTTAAGTGACAAATTAATTAGGGAAAACTCAACATCTTTTAGAAAATTTACCTAGCACTAATATTTTCATCCATAAGGTTAACTCTTAAATTTGTTACATATATGGATGAAAATAATAGTGCTAGGTAAAATGGCGAAAATCGGGAATATTTGGACCCGCTATTATCAAAAACTAAAGTAAGGACGGTAAAAATTTTAAAATTTTAATTTTCAAATGCGAATATCTCCTAAACTATTAGATAATTTACTATTAGATAATTTACGACAACATTTTTTATAGTGCTCTATAAGGAGATTCTATATACGAAAATTTTTTTAAATAGGAACTCAAATGAAGAAATAGGATCGTTTTAAAAATTTAACATAGCCGAGGTGTCCTAATTTGAGGACCCCCCGCCGGGCCCCTGGTTGGCATATAAGGTCCAAATTCAAAACCTAAACTCGACAACATCTCCTCTTTGTGCATCAAAATCGGATTAACCGTTTAGAAGTTACCGAATTA